CAACTTTTTGTCTCCCTTCCATCCCTTCTGCTCCTCGTTCCGCCGATTGCGTTGCCTCTCCTTCGTTGTCCTCCTTTCTACACCACCTTCCCTTTTGCATTCACATTCTTGCATCTGCATTGTCGACCAATGCCGAGCGAATTCTTCAAAAATCCTATGCACTCGCGTACTTCTTCCTGCTCTACAGCGCAAGCAACAATTGACGAGCACACGCTCGCGACAATGTCCATGTACATCTACTCCCATCGTGCTACCCCTTCTCTTACTCGGTATGTGCTCTCCTTCCCCACCCGTGCAATGCTTGACATCATTCTTGGTAGGCCCACACTGTATGCATTTACATTCCTCTGTGCTGGGCATGACACCACATTGAACAGGAGCGGTGGCCCATTGCTCACACCTATCCAAGATGAGTTGAATCCGTCCACATCTTCCACTTCACTCTCGCCCTTCGATCCAGAACGTCCCGGAGATACACTCTTGTAGTCATCCGCAACGGCTCAGTTTACCGCACCTCCGATTGCGAGACGTAGCCAGAGCATGCAACGTGCACTTACAGACACGGCTTCGCTTGCTGCTCAAATCAGTTCGTTCAACGCTCCGGATCTCAACCCCGGTGCACCACTCACACTCGCTACACGCTGTCGCGGTGCATCCATCTCTTTACTTCAAGCACCCGCACTCGCTAACAACCCCTTGCCCCCTTAGCAAGTCAACCTCCAAACTCGCCTCACAAGTACAACCTCGACCTCTGCAATCCGTACAATCTCACAATCCACACACAACTCAACTTGCAGGGACCGAGTGGCGACTAAGGCATGGTGACAAAGTCTACCTCAAACAGCTGAGGAACACATTCGTTCTCTATTGTCAATACACTCGCCATCTGTCGTCAGATTATTTCCCTAATTGTTGTAGATAATAATGTATTTATACAATATTTCAATATAATTATAAACTGTTATTTTAATAACAAATGGATATAAGGACAAACTTATCTTATACATCTTATATTTATATGTTTTCCTTGTTAAAATAACAAGTATTATAATACTTAGCCATTTTGCAAGGTACACTTTAAGCACTTGTATATCTTAGTAAGTACTACAATTCTTATTATTCTTGACCAGAAAGTCAAGACTTTTTAATAGCTTTCTTAGCTTCTTATTACCTTCCTAAAACCCCTAGGTACACAATAAGCTCTTATACACAATGTAGAAAATATATATAATTTATATGCATATAAGCTAATACAAAGTTTGAGATATTTTCCTGATGTGTGTGTATGGGGATTCTGACACTGTGTACAGACATGCAATTCTGTATAGCCTCATATGTCTTCACACACTGGGTCTTTACCACAATGATCCTGAGGAGCAGAACATTGTCAAAAGCAGCAAGTTGGGCACATACAAGTTTATCAATCTTTGTAACAGTGTTTGGCACAAGGGATCGACGTGTTCTGGCTTCTGTAAGGAGCTATTATTGGTGTGGTTTAAATTCAAACACTATAGAGACCTGGAGGAGCTGGGAGACTTGGTGCAAGAGGTTCTGGACAATACAGGACTCAAAACACCCTTTAATCTCCAAGAGTCTCTGGAGAAGAATGGCCACTTCAACATAAAGGAGATTGCACCAGATGTAAAGAAGTTGGCAGATAAGATAGACCTGCTTTGCTAGTGTTTTGTAGTTAAAATATCTTGAGAACGAAACACATGTAGTTGAGTATAGTTACTTAAGACTATTGTAACAGAAATGAATTGTCTGGAAGCAAATGTGAAAGTATGATGATGTAATGTTGGCCAGCAGTAATGTCTTATGTATACACATTCTAACATAGCTAGGAACTGAAAAATACAGACAAACATGTTGAAGTCAACTTTGAAATAATTCAGATTGACAGCTAGCATTTTTCTGGAGTTATGTTACAAGCTCTACTTATGTAACTCTTACAGACTTTCAACTTGTAAAGTAAAGTCTGCTACAGACACAGTTATACTCTCTCCTATATTTACAACTATTGTATCTGTCCTTCATCTGCCCTAGCAGCTGACTCTCATTATACACTATTACATACCTTTTACTATTTGTGTCTTGTAATTATTGTAAGTTATACCTGGATAGTTATGAGTAAGACAATAATGTAGCAAAAGAGGTTACTATCTGTCCTTTATCTATATTATTAACTAATACTTGTTGTTGGTTGTTACACAGCCCCTACTATTCATACTTTATAATTATTGTAAGTTATACTCAGATGATTATAAGCAAGGTAATAATATGACAGAAGGGGTTGCTAGAGTACTGTGAAAAACCTTCAGGTGTGTTAGCTTGTTTGGCCATTCTAACTCCCTGTCCTTCTAGCTTCTAACAAAATCATTTAAGATTTCCTGTCCTACTTTTTGTTATAAAGCTTGTGACTGTGTAGAATATAATGTTTTACTAGGTTCTGCTAACTAGTTCTAGCTAAAAAGATAAAGTAGGTATTTTATATTTATAAAAGACCTTTTGCTACATGTACTTACTATTCTGCCTGTACTTTCAAGAGTGTCCCTCTGGCATTCAACATACTAGGATTGGGTAGACAGTATTATAGTTCTGATAGTCTTATAATATCTATAAGCTTTGTATAGATAGCTATTTGAAAATATAGCACTTATAGTTTTCTAGTAACAAGTCACCTTCAGCATTCCTGTAGTGATGAGAATGGACACTGTACACTGTTATACAATTTGTAAAACATACTATTACTACATTGCCAAACTCTATTTAAATTAAATGTAGAATACAACTACTACAGTTTTGAATTTTGTCTGTGTTTGTACTGTTTGTATTTCTCATAGTCTACCTAAAACCAGGATATAATAGTGTGACAGTTTTGAGGAGATTTCTTCCTGGCCAGTTCTAGGGTAAGAAGATACAATAGTAGACAATAGTAAGTGCTACTCCTTAGGGTCTCTCTTCTGAAACTGTAGAGAGAGCCCTTTATTACACACAAATTTTTACACTCTAAAACAGTGTTGCTAGTCTATAGAGATATCTCATTGGGAAAAAGTCTAAAAGGTTATATTACATTATAATGGTGTGAAAAAAGTAAAAAAAGTAATTTACATATTATCGGACCTTGATTTCTGATAAAGTAGTATAACTTTGTATAAGGTACTGTAAGGTTTATGAATGTAATAAAAGTACATAAGGGTAATACCCCTTTTAAACATATAAAATGCATAATATCGGACCTCCCTTTTTTGAAATGTATTGTAAGGATTACCAAGTTTTGAAAGGGTAATACACGTTTGTAATGTTTTACAGAGACTATACATAGTTATTATTTCTTAATAATAATAATTTCCCCTTACATCCATTCATTATTAAAATAACAAAAATCAATTATATTAAAATATTTGTACGATACATCATTATCTACAATAATTAAGGAAAATAAACTGAAACACATACATAGTGCAGCCTGTGTCAAGATTTGTGCAGAGAGCGAGTGAGAGTGTCCGTGTCTGCTGTGATGCAAATACGAGTAGGTAGAGGTTGGGATTGGACCAGACTCGAGCAGCGAACGAGTGCATTACGGGTGTCGATTGCCAGGCCCATCCCTTGACCAGATCCAGACGGACCACCCGAAAGCGAGGGCATTGAGAGGCTCAACGGTTATGACTGCATCTGTGGTTGACCCGTCCTTGCAAGCACACCGCATCACCCATCTCAAAATCACCAAAGTCTGCCATCTCCACTTCGCGCACGCTACTGCACGTCGTGTGCGATATCCGAACGGGCAGCCATACAGTGAACTATC